AAACTGCGGGGAACTCTGCAAAAAACGCATCTTCGCACGGGCAGCCCGTGCGTTGGCCATTTTTATACATAATAAAGGATAAGGTATAAAAAGTAGGTGAGGCTCTGGGGAGCCGAAGCTCCCCAGAATAGGAGTAGTAGTATATAGAATAAATAGGTTAGAATAAGTAGGTCGAAAGGGGCGATCCCGGCGATGGGGAGGAGTGCTTTTATACTCCAGGGGACAAAGATCGGAAGTTCAGTGAGGGTAGGGCGGTTAAAGTTTGAACCAGGGACAGGGGTACTGCGTCACAGTAGCGCAGTTGATCTTTAATCTATTTTTAACAAAAACCATTAATCACTATTTGATATATTACGCGATAAAGTTTTGGCGGGAAAATCGCTAACTCGGGACCCAGAAAAGCTAGTAAGCTGAAATTTTGGGATTATGGTTCCAGTCCAAATAGAACTCAAAGATTTCTAATTCAGCCGCCGGAGGTGCGTGGTTGCCGCGTACGGCCTCGTGAGGGTTTCTGGCGCGAAAATCGCTAGCTCAGTTACCAAGAAAGCTGAAAGGCTGGAACTTTCAGGAAGTGTTCCCAACTCATCTACAACTTAAATTTATCAAACTCAGCTCCTCGTTTTGCGTGGTTGCCACGTACGGCCCCGTGAAATTTTCTGACTGGAATTTGGATAACTCGGGAACTGAACCTGGGATTTCGAGGGAATGTTCCCTGTCCAAGTATAGTGTGGATAATTAACTTCCTGAAATTCAAGGACCATTATGTACACGAGGTTTCTAGCTAGTGGAATTCCGAGTGATCTTATTACAGCACAGAACACTGCAAAAACGCATGATCGCACGGACCCGCCCAGTGTACGTCGCCAATGATTTTGTATATAAATCAATATTATAGCTTATGAGACATGGGTGATCTGGAGTGATTCTTTCCGGATCATGGAAAACTGAATGCAACTCGCAAAAAAGGATGATGTAAAAACTCCGAGTGGAGCTGCTGATTCGCATTCTCGTAGCTCCAACTGCTGGGTTTTTTCCCTTTTCGCAACATCGAATACGACTGGTGCGTTTCAACACATAAAGAACCACCTCGTCTGCACTGTTCAGCCGTCCATTTCTTTCGTATATGAACTAATTTTCTCGGGTTACAAGCTTTTTGATGGTAGCACCAGTTTTTTTCGGACCGGGAAATGAGCTTGACTTTGAGCCTGGATGTAGGAAGATGATTTTAGCATCGTGTTCTTATGAGATCTAAAAGCGTGGTCTCAAAAATTTCTGCTGCCCAACTTTTTAGACTGAAGGATGAGTGGAAGAATGCAAAAATTTAGCAATAACGCTGTGCCTCACTGATTAATTTATCGATTTATCGTTCTGCCTGCAGTACTGCTTCTTCATTTGGGTCCGTCCTGGTTCCCAGAGAGAGGGTTTAATAAAAACGAACTGAGGATGACAAGGACAATTGGAAGAACGGGGGCCGGACCGCGTACCCCAAAGCCTCAGCCACCAGATGCACCGAACGGATCCGAATGAAATTGGGATTGGTGCCTTCGCTCAAATCATATTGTACTATCGATCTCAATTTGTAATCTGAAATGCTCATTCCCTCTTTTTCTCCTCTTACGTAGCGACACTTTCCGCTTTTTTCCCTAATTGAGTGATTTTTTTCACTTCCAGCATAGGTCTACCGTTACATGTGCGAGCCATTTTCACTTCTATAGATCGCAAACCTTTAGTGCAATGTTACATTTTAAAAAAAGCGAGCACTTTTTTCCTCTTGAATCACTCATTAAATATCCGTTTACTTTTTCTTAATTTGATAAACGACGTGAAAAAATTTTTTATTTGTTAAAGCGTCGTTTGAACAAATGAAAAACCTGAGGAGGAACTACCCGAAGGTGGTGGGATGCAGTTCGGATTAGAAAAATCAGACACAGGGTATATACAGAGTATTTTAGTAGCATCGCAGCATCATACAGAAAGTGCTTGTGATCCCGATTGGCCTGTTGCTTCTTTAGCACGGTACTACTGTCTTTTAGAAAGAAATGGGGAGCTGAGAGAATGGGCGGCTTGGGAATAATGTGGTAAGTGGCGCTGCTTGCATGGTCAAGTTGCTGCTCCGAATTCGCCGGAAGAAAAACGCGCTCCTTCATGATTTGTTTATTTTTTTGTGTGTTATTTTTGTACTGATAAATAACTTAGTCGAAAGCGTACCGGGTGCCGGCAAGAGGGTGCGTTTTTTGCACAGTTCCCCCGCGGGTTTTTTCGCCAGTGGTACGCCCTTCCCGGCAGATGCTTCTAGCCAGAAGAATTGCGACTGGCCAACACGACTGTTAGAAATTATTACGACTCGCAATTCATGCCTAAAAAATTCAGCGCTGTGGATGCTTCGGTTGCGGAGTTACGCCAAATTTCACGTGTTCGTACGTGAGTGACAACGTGAGTGCTTTCTTCGCCCGCAGTTGGTCAAACACGGTCCTGGGTAGCGCGCAAATAGTTTCATCACTCCAGCTGCTCTGGTTGCAGAGTTACGTCAAATTTCGCGTGCTCGTACGTGAGTGGCAAATTGAATGCTTTCTTTGCTTGCGGTTACTCAAACACGGCCCTGGGTAGCGCTCAGAAAGTTTCAGCACTCCAGCTGCTCTGGGTTGCGGAGTTATGTCAAATTTCACGTGTGTACACATGAAACATACGTGAGACGTGAAAGTGATGTGTAAGTCGTTTTTGCGTGCACCTGGTCAAAGGCCACAACCGGTTATGCTCAGAAAGTTCAGGGCCTTTGGCTGGTTCAATTCTAAAGTTATAAAAGCGCATGCGTAAAACTTCCACGTGTTCGTACGTGAAATGCAGAAGAGCTGACAAGTAATTTACTTTCGCGGGCACAACAGTGGGCAACAAGAAAAGCTGCAGAACCGCAGCTCTCTGCAGTTTATTGATCACCTTAAATTTGGAGTTGGTGTGATGCCAGTTTGAACTTTGACGTGTGCGTACGTGAGTCCCGAGAGTGCGTGAAGGCTGATTTGAAATCTTTGGATCAGACGCAGCCAAGGAGCATCTCTGTGAAGTTCCAGCCTCCTAGTATGGGTCGTTCCCGAAAACGCTTTCCCGCCAAAAAAACTTTCACGCGCCCCTACGTGAGAACCACGCGGAACTGAACGTCCATTTTGAGGACACGAGCCCGCACGTGTGTGTAGATTAGATCACCAAATTTTTAGCCTTGTAACTTTTGTCGATCTCAAGATAAAAACTCGTTACAGACGCACACACAGACACACATACACACACAGACATCCCCTCGACAATATGCGTTTTTGCATTGCATAGCTGCAAAAAACGCATAAAAATGTTAGCGGCGGCATATATAAAATATAAAAGATACGGGAATATTTCTTATACATTCCTATTCAGCACCATAGCTGGGCCTCGTCATTATGACGGTTATGATGTTGATATGAAAAAAAAAAAAAAATTTAAGCCAAAGGCAGCAATTTCGACTTGCCAACTAGTCAAAATTGCTGCTTTTGGCTTAATTTTAAGTAAGTTTCAAAAGTGGGTGCCCTTGCCAGCGTATCAGCGTTGTTGACAAAGAACTATCAGATCACTTCCGGTGCCTCCGCTTCTCACTGAGGATTATATGTGATAGAGTTGTGACTCTCGGCTTGATTATTTTTCTACGGTTTATTTCGATTGTTGTAAATTAATAGCATATGGATTTATCCTTAGACTCAGTGCGCATCTGCTAGTAATTCTTGAATCTCGGTCCAGAAGTAAAGCTCACTGAAACTACTCTCACTGTGAAATCAGCCAGATAACACTGTTCTTGGAAAACGCATGTGACACACACTACCTTCCACCTATGTGCCTTCTTAGTCTCTCAGCACATAATGCTATGGAAGTGTGGTGAAAGCAGTGAGCTACTCGGTTTTTTGCTTCTGATTTCCAGTGAATCCTCTTTTGACACTCCCTCGAGTATCTGATCCTGAATTGTTAGAAGCGGGCATCGTTTCTGCCTTGATTTTAGTGCCTGGAACAAAAAGAGAGCATGTAGCTGTATAAAGTGGTGTTGTGAGTGGAACTGGGCAATTAAATTACATTTTAGCAAATTAATGAGTACGTTGGAGTTGCCGTAGGAACTGCAGGGAGGTAGGAGAGGAAGTTGAACTCGTGTAACAGGAAGAGCAATGATAACGGTGACTTCATCATATATGATCGACAGTCGAGAGGGGGAGGGGTGCGTGCTGGTGGCATGATAAGGTTTTGGTTCTTTTGATTAAATAATGACCAAAAAGGGATGGTTGCTCGATGCGGGCACATCCGGTGGCCGGTTAGCGGTTTGCCGATCCTGGCCACTCTCATGGTCGCTTCTCTGTTTATTTGCTTTCTTTCGCTGGCTATCGCGCTTCACCTGGAGTAAGCTGAAATAAAATTCATTATCTGCCCGCAGCGGGCCCAAGGATTGTGCCTGCATTCGGTTTGTGATGCTTGCGGTATGCTGCATTTGCTCAGTGCCCCACTGTGACTTTTCTCTGTTTCTGAAGGGAGACTCGTTTGTGAGGTACGGTGCAGGGAGCATACTCCTCAGTCTGCCGAGTTTGTTTGAATTTAGTACCTGCTGGAGAAAGACATCAAATAATGAATATTTATGTATGCGCACAAGAAGATGACGTGTGAGCGTGTTGGTTTTGAATGTATACTCTGTAATAAATAGGTGTAAGTGGAATGATGTCGATACTGGTCCCGGGTGCTAATGGAAGCAGCCCGCAACGAGCAGGAGGAGGAGAGCAGCATGCTGCTGCTACCGCTGCTACGCATGGACGCACATTGTCCGGGCAATCATCTAAGGATATTAGCGAGGATGGTTGTTGCTTTGCAAAAATGTTCCTCTCTAATATCGTCTCTTTTGCAACGTGAGTTTGTTTTTTATTTTTTGTTTAATTTTTTCAAGTTTATAGTTAGCATAGCATGGTTGCATATAAAATGCACATGTGTGTTTGTTTCTATGTGTGTGTTTGTGTGTTTATGTGTGTGTGTGTGTGTGTATATCTGATGTGTGGTGCATGTAGGTTTGCTTCTTAAAGCATTGTTTTTAGCCAAATTGCTAAATATTTATTATTTATTTTTGACGCTGATGGCTTTTTTTCACTTTTAATTTGACTGCTTCAGGATTTGCGTATTTAACTGTAAATTGTGAATGGGATGAAATTGGTTGTCTTTCTTGCTTACCCGTCTAATACGCACTCAACGATGTTTTATTGATAGTTTAGTAGTAGTAGTTATACCTTCTTAAATTTTTTCGTACTATTTAATTTTGTGCACAATTTCATCTCAAAATTTAAATAGAGCGAGGGGAATGGGAAGAAGCTAAAGCATGGAATTAGTGAGGCGAGGCATGTGTTTTGAATAGGTGTGGAACTGCAGATACCGTAGTCGGGCTGTGAGATTTGCAAAATTTACCGGAAAAGCGGCACGTGACATGCTAAAATTTGAGGAAAAAATCAGTTTCAGAAGATCGCGTCGAAAGGGTGTGAATGAAGGATGCGGGGCAGCACAGCGCCCCTCTCCAGTCGGTGATAAGAACATAAAAAGCTGCATTCATGCGTCGAACTGTAAGCGTAAGATGCTCTCGGAAATGGGAGTATGCGATTCATTCGACGATGAAGTAAGCATCTTTTTGTTGGTCCATCAGAAAGTGCTGGCTTGTTTTCGCATATTTTTTCCAATATTTTCAGATAGATGTGCATATGGCGCTGTCATCCAGAAGCCTACGAACCTTCAAATTTTGTCTGTCTTTTTTTTTTCTTGCATAATTTCGGAGGTCCTCCCGTTTATATCTGTAACAGTTTTATCGAGCGTTGCACCACGCATTCTGCTTTTCTTTTGCGTTTTCTCTTCCCAAGCATGAGATTTTGGCGCCTATTCGGTAGATAGCAACAGCATTTCATCCTGGATGTGTTTTCTAGCTAGTCTATCATGCCGACGCCAGTTCCTCATGAACGTCTAATTTTTTGCGTTGCTGTGATACCAGTGAAAGATAAGTACATGCTTGACTTCACAAGGTTCTCTCAATTTCGGCATATGGTGGAATTCATAAGCTTTCTCGTATTTGTTTCGTATCTTGCCCAGCAGCGTCGTGTAAGCACCAACAAACGGGTTTTACTGTCTTTCTGATATCCAGAAAACAAATTTTCATTTTTTACTGAGAGACGAAATCTCTTTTTTGGGAAAGTTGCGAAAATTTTCTTTTCATTGCAGATGATCAGACGTTTAACGATGCTACCTCAAGGAGTGGACAGCAATGAATGGTTGGCCACACACAGTGAGCATTTTTACCTCAAAGTTTGCGCTGGGTGAAGATTTGTTTTACACTGGCCACTATTGTTGAGGACAAATTAGCATGAATTACGTCACAGTTAGCGGCTTTTTGATCAGATATCATCTTTCAGCGCTGTCTCTGTTCGAGAACGTGAATGCGCTGTGTGGGGCGATATCGGAGCTGTGTACACCAGTTTCCTGTCCCATCATGTCTTATCCAGGCGTTACGTAAGTTCCTTAGAATGCTCTGTTTTGTTTTTGTTCCCAGACATTTCCGGTTTCATAAGTGACCGGCTTTACCTAGGTTTTCATTAGATCTTTTTCAATAGTACCTTTCGTTGATTTTCTGCGTTGTAAGATTACAGTAGCTTTTTAATGATCTTCCTGAAATAGAAAGCCTTTGGAGAAGCACACGCTTTTGACTTGTTAATGAATGGTCCGGATTTTACTGCAATAATTGCGAAGAAAAGATTTTTTACTGCAGTAATTGCGAAGTATGATAAATGAAAATGCTAAAGCAATACTTTAAAAAAGAGTTAAAAAACGCGAAGCTACTGCATCTCCATCCCTCCCACTGGCCTCATCCCTCGGGTAACGATACCCTATGGCCTCTGGACCTGTTTGCATGCTCATCAGCAATCACTTTAATAATGTGATTCATAACTTCCTGTTTTTTTAACTATCTTAAATGCTGCATGTTGTAAGCGTCTGCTGCTGCTGCTGCTGCTGATCTTTGTAAGTACGTCTCTGTCTTGCCAGTCAATCCTTTTGTAGCTGAACTAGCACCGTATTTTGGTCAGTTGTCTCTGCTCGTTTGTTCATTCTATGCCTGCTTGCTTGTTATCCCTCGTTTCTGAACCGTTCTGGATCTAATTTCATTCTTAGCTTCCTCTTTTGGAACATTTGACGTTTTTGGTCTGCTGTTTTTGAAATGCACTTCACTTTCTTAGGTTAACTTTTTGGCAGAAGTTGTCGCAAGAGGATTTTATTGTTTCCTGTTTTTGGTCTGCTGGATTGCTCTGGTAGCAAAATTGTTACATTATCATTGTTAATACGATATGTGCTGTGGACTACCGAGGATTACCGTAGAATTTACTTTCAGTAGCAAACTGTTCTCCCACCCCGCCCTCCGCCTTCCCCCTCTCACCATGTGTGACAGCATCCTTCATAATTATTGCACATTTGAAGCTCATCCACTGTACGGGTCGAACTAAACTAAATGAAGTTGAGCTGCAAATCGCGGTGTTGGCCTTTTAAGACTTCGGCGCATCCTCATTTATCTATCTGCAGACATTTGTGCAGCAATCAATCAAATTTTTATGGATGGTATTTTGGATTGTTATCGGCCAATCTTTTCATCATTACTTCATGATACTTTTCTGCTCTCCAAAAAAACCACTGACACTGTAATCGGCAGAGGTGTAAAGAGAGAAGGCATTGCTGTGCTGCTTCATGATTTTCGTTTGCTAATTGGGCGAAGTTTTGCGGACGATGAAGACGATTGAAAACTTTGACATGAATGATGGACAAAATAGAGTGCTTTTTTTTTGTGGATGATGTGGTGCCGATAAATGGAAACTCAGAAACGCTTCATGATCTCGGCCATCAGCATGAGAGCAGCGCTATTTGTGTAACACTGCACTACGCCCACCAATTAAAAGCTTCGTAAAAAGTTTACTGAATTAAGTAGCCAGCTGAGGAAGTGATTGCAGGAAGGCGCATTGGGTTGATGAGAAGAGGAAACATCACGTCTACTCGGCCATGCAGTACATCGACTGCGTTTTGTCGTTCTGTGAAAAAAGCACAAAGGATGAGCAGCTGTATCCAACGAAATACGGTCAGCGTTATATCGATTTTTATCATTTTGCGTGATTATTAATTCGTTTCATCAGCAACGTTTCCCGTAATTGTGCTGCTTACGCTGTGGATACATCTCATGCACCATGCCGACTGTTGGGACATTCTTTATGATTAACATCTCCTCGCTTGCATGAATCTTTTTTTTGCTCCCTCTCAGTTTGATTTCTCTCCTTTAACTTTCGTCTACTTAAACTAATTATCTCAGCTTTTCACCAATTATTCATTCTCTAGCTCCGCTAACAAATCACTTTGAGAATATCGCTAAAAGTACAAAAATCACTTATCAATGAGCGTGACACTGTAATTGTTTGCGAATGTGCTTAATTTAGTGCAAACTGTGAAAGCCAATGTTAGAAAACGCAAAAATTTGTTTACCCTCCTTCGTTTTGATGCTGAAGCACCATCAAGTTCGTATTGTGCTACTAACATTTTTTGGCGGAAGGGGTCAGTCCGTAGCCATCTCAACAGGCAACTGCACTTGATTAGGGGCACTCACCCTTATCGGAGGAAGTAGTTTGCATCTGGGAGACAAAGGGATGGCGAAGGAAGAAGTGAGGGGAGAAAAATAAGCTGTTGTTGTAATTTTAGCTACACTGGTTTAGGTAAGGAGTTTGAAGATTTTGATTTTTAAGAAAGTCCTTAAAGTATTTGGAAAACCGTTTTTAATTAACGCTAGCAAGCTTGGTGAGGAGGTGCGTGTTACTTTGCTTCAGAACCGAGCTGTTTTTTCGAAATTTTCTAAAGGAAAACCATTCCTC